ATATTTAGGTTCCAAATATGTCAACATCATTTGAGTGACTACTGTAGCAACGTGTATTTTTTAATGCAGCTTATTTGCCAAATAGCATAACCCATGCCCAGTTTGAAGGTTTGTGAGCTTAATGAGCAGTGATTTACACTCCTCAGCCTTTTTTCTTTTCTTTCTTTTTTTTTTTTTTCTTCAGACACTTTTAAAAGGTTAGAGCACTAAAAAGTGTCAGATTATGTTTTATGTCATATTAAGGGTATTATACTACAATGATATTTGTAATAACGTTACCACTTGTAGCTTAGGACTATAGGAGTCTAATCATAATGAAAGGGTGATGGTCAAATATTGGCTTGATTCTCTTAATGTTTGTAATTGTACTTCCTTACTAAACAGCAGAGCCAGAAGCAATGCACATGAATGTCAAAGTCTACTTTAAAAAGGATATTATGTTGGTTAGTGAAAAAATATTTTATTTTCCCTGAGGCTTTCCCTTGTTCAGTACATCGAGTCATGCTCCGTCTGTGTATGAATACTTTCTTTTTTTTTTAAATACTGAAAACCTCAACAAACTTGCTGCTTTTTAATTGTGACTTCTTTTTCCCAGATGTGACGGATGAGATGTTGGCCTTCTTCTTGACGCTATTTCAAGCTTTGCGAGTCCAGATGGGTGTTGCCTTCACAGGACAGATCATCCACACTTTCCTCAGCATGTTCACCAGGTAGTATTTCCCGCTGTGTAGACGAGTTCAGGTTTAAATGGCATGGGGCGAACACTGAAAACGCTGGTATCACTATTAACTAATATTCCTCTAACCTCCAGGGAACAGCTGACCGCCAGTATTTTGCAAGAAGGCAGTGCGGGGTGTAGAGTGGTACAGAAGTTCCTGAAGATCCTACAGGTGGTGGTGCAAGAGCCCGGTCAAGCTTTCAAGCCCTTCCTACCCAACATCCTGTCCCTGTGCATGGAGCAGGTTTACCCAGTTGTGGCAGAGGTCAGTTTCATAAATATTCATACTGCAGTTTGATTTTGTTGGCTTGATTAGCCTGCCAGCCCCTGAAAATAGTAGTAATTCTTAACTGGTCAAAACACACTTTATGTATTTGTTGATGTATTTGTTTTTCAGCATTTACCAAATATCCTTGATAACATTTTTTCTTTTGTCGTTGGTAGCGGTCTTCCCCAGACGTCAAGGCAGAGTTGTTTGAGCTGCTATACCAAATACTTCACCAAAACTGGAGGTACTTCTTTAAAACGTCAGTCTTAACAAGTGTCCAAAGAGGAGCTGCTGAGGACACCATGGAAAATGAGGCGCAGTTCACAGCCGCCATGCAGGTGTGTGAATGCGTGTGTGTGCTAATTCTAGCCAGTTAATAGAACAAAAACAATCGAAGCTGTAATCACTGCTGAAATGTCTTTGACAGGCTTTTGGACAGTCTTTTCTGCAACCGGACATCCACATCTTCAAGCAGAATCTCTGTTATTTGGAATCACTCAACAGCAAGCACAAGTTGTATCACAGAGTAAGTTGAGTCATTGTTTTCAGAGGTAAATAACATCATGCAGCGGAGTTTCACTCTCTTTCAAAATCCAAATTTGCATCGGATACAAAGGGTTACATTTCAATCACTATCCGATCACCTTCATACTTCTCCCCTACTTGCTGAACATGTCCTCGATGAAAGGATTCAACTGTTTTGAGAGCAACCTAGTGTTAATTTAGTAGGTATAGACTTCATTGTGTTTATTTTACTTTATTTTACTTTAGAAGCTTTTCCGGACCTCGATGCTCTTCCACTTCATCAACGTGCTGCTGCAGGTCCTTCTTCACAAAAGTCACGATCTTCTTCAGGAGGAAATCACCCTCGCTATTTACAACATGGCCTCAGTCGACTTTGATGCCTTCTACTCGGCCTTCATGCCAGAGTTCCTCAACGGCTGTCAGGGTGTGGACTCCGGCCAACGAGCTGTTCTAGCGCGCAATTTCAAGCTTGAACGGGTAATAATAATTTTTCTTTTTCCCACTTCACTGAATTATTGAGAAATCTCACCTTCAATGCTTATGTATGCAGTGACCTGTGGGTCTTGTTATTATTTACCTTAAAGGATACCATCCTAATTTATTTTTGGTCCCTCTCCACCATAAGGATGGCAGTTTGAGGCCCCGGCTCCTTCTGCCTGTCACATGTCAAAGTCTCCTTGAGCCGATAAACCCAAAGTTGCTCCCTGAGCACAACAAGGCAGCCCAACTTACTTATATGCTATTCGTGCTGGAATTTTAGTTAATGGGGCTCAATAGCATTGAATATTTAATATAAACTACATTTCTAATCTAAGCAGGTGTTAATTCAATTGTATTGTGAATGCATGAAACCTGCATTCTATTTAGTATCCAGCAGAGGGAGAAACTGCTACTCTATTTGATTTATTACCTCATTGAACACTATAGACATGAGTTCATAGTTTTGATCACTAGTTTCAAGTCCGGCAGTCCAACCGGATATAATTTTAGTAAATGATGGTGACATTTAGAGCACAGTTACTTGTCAGGTCGCTACTGCAGTGATTGGCGGTCAGGGAGTTTTGCCACGTTCTCTTCTGAACTTTAACCCTTTCACGGTGTGTTTTCTGTTCATAAAAGCTTTTGGTCACCTAAAAATGTATTATCACTCTGTCATGTCACTTTGGGTATAAAAAAAAAACAACAAGAGGACCAATTGGGTGACAATTCACCGCGAGCACCTGTACATTTCCATTCAATTTTTGTGTTGAATTTTGATTTCTTCTTTGCAACTTCTGTAAATTGACGTCGCTGTTCAACTTTTCTCTTCTTTCTCAAGGACCTGCCTTCGTTCACTCAAAGTGTGCACAGACTGGTGAATGACCTCCGCTACTACAGACTGTGTAATAGTAGCCTGCCGACTGGCACCATCAAGCTATAGCACAACGAGTGCTTGAACCACTCCATACATCAACTATGATCTTCAAGGACTGCCTGTGCTGACCACTTTGCCGTACGCTCCTCCTCCAATCCACCACCTGTTCGAAGTGATCGGAAGGAACCACACGCATTGTATCGTTGAGAATTTGGAAGTTGAGGATGCTGCTGATGTATTTCTTTGATGTCTACTGTAGTAGGTCGGCGCATCATTTTTAAAAAAATTTTAGCAGCGTCCCCCTAATGTGTTGCCAATGATATTTTGGCAAGAAATGAAACCCGGTCTGCAGTTGGCTTTCGCCCAGACCTGGAGCAATCTGAGCCAGGCCTTCTTTCCCACGCGTCGGCAGCAAAGCTGGGCTGGGACTGAGCACTTTCAACTCATTTTGAGTTTTTTAAAATGTCTGCTTTTATTCATTTTGCCTTTTCATCTCCAAAGGAGACGGATTCTCAACTTAAGATCTTTCATATCATTCCATTCTGATAAAGAGAAACTTGCTTGATTAATAAAGTGCTTTTTTAGTAAAAGATTCAGGTATTGATTAATTGAATCCATGTGCCCGACCTTTGCAGTGTTGTGACCGTATTGCTTGACAGAATAATGGTTGTATGAAGAGATTTGAGACTTAACTGTATGTTTACGCTGTACCGCATGCACCCATAATCAAATAGATTCCAGTCCCTAAGGGACTAAAGGGTAATACAAATCAGATTCATTTTGAGAAATGCTCATCACGTGATTAAAAGACGGGACGCATCAACAGAGGAAGAACGATTAAGTCTTCACAGTAGGTGAAACACCTCAACAAACTCGACATTCAAAGTCTTAATTTTTGTCTGTATGTTCATCTTTGAGGATTGGGACTGTATTCATTTTGACGTCTAGCCACCGATTTAGATCGTCATCTGTTTTTGTCTTCTCTCTCGATGCTGAATGCAAATACTGGTTCCGGTATGATGTCAACTAAACATTTAAATAAGCTATAATATTCAAGAAACTTGCAGGTTTATGTCACTGCAAAACCTTTTGATGAAAAGAACAAAATCTCAACATCTAGTTGATTCGAATTACAGTTCGATCTCCCATGCAGATAAAGTATGTTGTCATTGGTAAATGAGACAAATCGTTTGTTAAACCGAAGATCAGTGGTTCGACCTGAACCCCCAGTTGCTCCAGGTGGCTGATGAGCAGGTGATCGCATGCAGATACACCGATTGGTCATTAGTGTGTCGATAGAACGCTAGCACTGGGTACTTTGTTCCTGTGACAGACTAGACGTCATCCAAATGTATCTTCAGTGATCACGAAGATGTTCAATTTTTGCCGCTTGGATGTATCAGAAATGAACTTCCAATGTTGTGCTGTCCCATCGACTTGTCTTCGGTAGCTGACAAGTCTGAGCCTGTAACCCTGCACTGCAAACAGTGTGTGGAGGTTAAAGTGTTTGAACGAATACACATTTTATTTACATTTGGGAAAATGAGGGAGCCATTAGTTTTACTTTAATTTTTTAATACCTTTTGTTTCTTGCAATTTCTCTAAATGACAATGTGGTCTTAATAGTTTGGATATGAACCAAAGAACTTGAATGATGTTCTCAAAGCTGTAGTTGAAAAAACGTGAGTCATCACTGTACATTTCTTAAATGATAAATTCAGTTCTACACAAAAGCTCAATTCAGTGCTAGAATATTTGATCAATAAGTGTATTTGTTTTTGCCAAATTAAACATAAAAAAACCCACAGGCAAACATCTGTCATCGCAAACATGTTTGATCGACCACCGGGGCGGCTGGCAGGCGGTGGGGTGACTCGTGAGTTCTGATTGACGCGGTCTGACTTCTGTCTCGAGAGGCTCGCTGGACGCGTCGCAACATGCTCCTCCTGCAGCGGTCCGTCTCCAAGAGTCTCCTCCGACACTTTTATCCAGCAAATCGAGGAAACGCCAAAGGTTTGCTGTCAGCTGCGCTGCCCGGCGGAGCTGCAGGACACCGGAACAAATCGGGTAAGGTGGATGTTTGCTCAACTGCTCCGCGAGAACGTCGAATTTGACTTGTATGCACATTTCTGCTAGTTATGTGAAAACGCCACATTGTGCAACATTGTTTCTTTTCCTCAGGATCGGATCCCGTTTTACTCACTAGGTAACTCCGACCCGGTTAACCTATGAACTCAGTCAGTTTAACACGTGCAATGGCACACATGCGCCTTTTCTTCGCCGTTTTAAATAGTTTACGTTCAAAAAGGCTGCAGGCTTCCTCGGGTTCTATCTGCGTCGAACGGGGCCAAACGTTTGCAAACAAATGCCCAACTCGAGGGGGTCGTGAACCGCATCGAAGGCTGTTAAACGGGGGTCTGCGTGGCGCGTGTTCTGCGGGGTTTTGGATGCACACCAGATACGTCACCAGAACCCCTTTTCTCGTGGGGGGTGAAAACGTCCATGCAGCTACTCAAAGACTCTTCCTACTTTACTCGTAACAGGCGGATTTCAAGTGGGTCCCGTGGCGGGTCACGTGCGTATTGATTGCGTGCTGTCATTCATTAGCCGCTGTGCGGTGCGCAACAATTTATCCAAACAATATCCGGTGTGCGCAGTTCATCTGTGTTTGTAAACCGATGTGCATGCGTTCCGATATGTTTGTGTGTGTTTTGGATGTCCCCCTGCAAGCCGTTTGAGTAAACATTTGTCCCCTTTAGTCCACTGTGTTTGTTTGACTGCTTTGCTTAGTTGCTTTGCAGATTTTCGTACTATAAACTCAACAGCTGATGTATAAATATTACATTTAATTAAATTAGCTAAAAAGATAAGTGCTTTTCCATAGTATCAACGTCTATATATATTTGTTTTGCATGAGTGCTTTTACTACTACATGTTGATTTTCGCATGTAGTTGCTTTACATGAAGGTTTTACTACTTTGTCTTCCACGGTTTCTGTCCCAGCAGCTTTCCCAGACGAGAGGGAGCGGACTCTCATTGCTATAAAGCCGGATGGAGTCCAACGTCGCCTTGTCGGACAGATAATGCAGCGCTTTGAACAGCGGGGCTTCAAGCTGGTCGGCCTGAAAATGTTGCAGGTAAACGCGTGAACGTGTTTGGTTTAGGTTGTTGTGTGTTCTTAGCTTAATTTCTGTCTCTGCATGGAAGGTGTCTGAGGATCTTCTGTCTCAGCACTACTGTGAATTGAGGACTAAGCCCTTCTACCCCAGTCTGCTGGATTACATGAGCTCAGGGCCCGTTGTTGTCATGGTGAGGTTGCTCTTATCTCTACAATTCCGGAATAAGTTGTTTTTTCAAAAATGAATGCTATCATAGATTTAAAAATACATTGTATTTCAGGCGTGAACCCGCTAATATCTGCAAGTCCTGAATATGCTGATTTTGTGAGAGTTCTATTTATATGTAGGTGTGGGAAGGTCACAAGGTGGTCCAGACGTCTCGTACAATGGTGGGACACACCAACCCAGCGGAGGCCCAGGCAGGCACCGTCAGAGGAGATTTCAGCTTTCATGTCAGCAGGTAACGTGTTGCCATTTGACCTCATTTTGTGTCAATTTCAGGGTTAAGCAACAATCGCATGACACCACCACTTTCTAGATTTTGCATGTGACTTTTCCACGTCGGAAGTAAAATAAGGATTTGTGTTGGTCATTTAAAGGAATGTGGTTCATGCCAGCGATTCACCTGAAGGGGCTCAGAGGGAGATCCAGCTGTGGTTCCAGAGTAAAGAACTCCTGAAGTGGGAGTGCTGTGACCAGACCATCACCTGTGAAGATGCTAAGGCCTGAAGTCTATGGCTCAGACACGACAATGAGAATCCGTAACGGTACCTCTGCTCCTGCTGCTCAGGGGTCTGCCTATCAAATAATTTACCTCAGTTAGTGCACTTAAAGTCACAAAGATTATATTATATTGGAACAAATGTGACACGTTTTTTTTGTTGTTTTATAAATCAAAATATATTAATAGCTGCATGCAAATGGGGACCTGCAACGTTTGTCCTTTGGTGTCAGGATGAGATGTATTTTATCACTACGTGCAAAACATCGAGGTGTTGTGTGGAGCTACAGTGGATGAACTTAAATAAATATGAATGCCGGATGGATGAATTGTTTTACAGTTTTGTCATACAGTTTTACAATTTACAGCTGATTATTTATATATATATATATATATAAATAAATTATACACACACAATATTGTTAAGTAATAGTTCTACCTCCTGTCTAAAAGAAATAAGTCCAATAACATGAGTGAGAAGCTCTAAACTGGAAATTGTTAATGATTCAAATAATCAATGTTGGCACTAGAACATTCAACTTCTGGTCAATGTTGCTTTGAAAATGTTGCTGTCGGTTAATAAATGTACTAAAAAAAACATGGTGATTTGCGTCCGCCTGCTATTGATGGAAAAAAAAAAGAATTCAAGCCAATAAAATGACAGCGGTGTACATTTTGTCATAACTCATCAGCTTCAGTCACAAAGAATCAGAAGCATCACACAAAGAGGGGAACTGAATTTGTATCAGTTCAATGTGTTTCTGGCCCACAACAGCATCCGTGTGCAACAAGGAATATTGTCTTAACTGAGATTTGCGGGCAATTAAAGACATTTAAGCATCTTTCTTGACCAAATGTATTTTTGTTGTAGCTCAAAAAGCAGTTTCAGTCAAATGTAAACGTAGGAATGGACTCATTGGTGTCACTGTATTAGGTTTAGCTTAGTAAAACGCTGTATTGAATTGTGCCTAAATTGTGAACAAAATGTTAGATGTTATAAGGAAAAGGATCTTACCAACTGGTAAGAATAAGAAAAAGGAGCACCTACGTATAACTGCACGTAGGATCAAATATTAAAATCAATCTGGAACATCAGTGAGCGAACAGCTCTACATGCTACGCGACTGTTCTCTCCATTGATCTGTATTACTTCACACTTTTTTATTCTGATATCAGGCCAATCTTCAGTTTTTGCTTCTCCATCGCCGTCTTCAGTTCAGTAGCTTTGTGCACGTCCTGAGTAGAATGCAATAGAAAAATATGTTTTAACAAAGCAGTATTGATATTATTTTAAGAGATTCCTGCAGTACCAGACCAACAACAATAAGGCTATCTAGTGATTAATCATTTTAAAATCTCTCCTCTGGAACTGGCTATGAGCTCTTTAGCAACTAAATTGTATGTTTTAGTTTTGTAAGTTGAAAAGTGAATACTCTTTAGTCAATGTAGGTAACAGGGTATTAAAACGACCCAAGTCTGTGCATAAGTCAAGGCTGAACAAACAACCGACGAATGACCCCACAAACACACACACACACACAAAAAACAGGACAAACCTCGAGAAGCGCCTTCTGCACCATAATCTGGCTGTAGACTCTTGCTCCTTCCTCTGGAGCCACCGCGCGGAGCTCCTCCTTTTGCAGGGCGAAGAGCTGTGCTCCATTTAGGACGGACAGTCTCTGGACCGTCCTGCAAGAGGAACAGGAAGAAGAAACATGTAAATATAAGAGCCATACTTATGTCCAACGTTCACATTGAGCTCATTACACTGCGTCAGGCTCTGGCAGGCTGCCCTGTCCAGTCCTGGTCCTTTGGTTCTTTGGCCCTTTGATAATCTCTTGATATTCCTGGCGGATTTTCAGAATAAGATGTGGCATAACTAAGACGTTCTACCAACTGGCCTTGTCCTGAATTCAGGTTTATGTCCGAGCTGGAGTTTCCTCTGACAGGTATAACTCACTGTTGAGTGAAGCCCTTGGTGTGCAGCCAGGCCTCCACATCGGCGGAGGGCGAGTGGTAGTTCAGGGGGGTGATGTCGGCTGAGGTGGGGAGCACCGGCGGACGTAAGGAGTCTCTTCTCACAACTATCCGCCGAAGAAGCTCGTCATTCACTACCAGGGCGGCAAATATCAAACATTTCTCCAATTCAAGATCAGCGCTCAATGTTTTTAAGGATTCTGAAGCACATCATATTAAAAGTGGTCCGTTTCTGGCCAATTATCAAGACTTTACACGATAAAACAACTTAAAACGCTGCAGGGATTCAATACGTTTGTGAGTTCAATGTTGCAACAAGTCCATGCTATGATTGTATGATTCACCGTTGCTGACTTCAACATGCGTGTACGTGTTACCTCGACCGTTGTCTTCTTCCCGCGTTGATGGTGAAACCATGCTCTGTGGCCGCAGTGGGCGCGTGGCTTCAGGACTGGTCCTAACTGGGCTCGATCCAGCATATGACAAGTACTTTGTCGGAGGGGAAATGGGCATCTTCTGTTGAGCAACAGCGGGAATGAAAAAAACAACAAAAACGGTTGGGATTGCATGAGGCGAGAAGCTGCAGTGTGTGCAAAATCACTGTGTGTGTGTGTGTGTTGTGTACGTTGTCGTACCTTTGACTCCCTGCGCACCACTGGGCTGGTTCTCCCCCGGCCATTCGGAGCGGACTGAGGCTCCAGGATGTTCGAGGGGACAAATCCTATCTGGTCAAAGCGATTTCGACACTTCCACCATTTCTTTGACGAACTAATGAGCTGAAGGGAGAATCGGTCGAGTGGGGTTATAACTTGGAGGAATACATCTGCTTTTACGGCCCCAAATTGTAGTTGTGGATGCGTACCTCTAGGGTTTCTCCTTGTAGCACAGATAGTTCACTGCTGTTTCTAGCCACAAAGTCGTAAGTGCAGCAGTAAAGTCTGTCCCCCTCTGGGGGGAGCTCCCTTTCTCCTCTGAAATAGAAGCGTTGGTCAAAAGTAATGTGAAAAAAAACCAAGAAGCAATTAACAAAAGGGAGTCAGGTCTCGGTAATAGTCCTCATTATCACCTCCAGACAATTTTATGGCGCAGTAAATAGTTAATTGCAGACATTTGTGATTTGATTCTGTCGTCATTGTCACTTTAACACATAATTATATCTCTCTCTGTAATGAATTCACGAGGCCTACAGACTTACACTTCCCCCCTTTCTTCACCAGGAGGCTGCGCTGTCTGTCGAACTTGATCCTGTTTCAGTCTGGCCTCCCTGCTTTCCTCGAAAGCATCTTGTTTGTGCTGTGACTCGACGGGGTCTTCGAAAGGCTGGCCAGTCGGGTCACAGGCCTGAGGCTTCCACCCGTCCATGAAGACAGGTAGGTATGGAGGCACGGACACCTTGAGGTGTAAACTGAAAAGGGGGGGAGAGAGAATTTTGTTGGAGCAACACTCTGAAACCAAGATCCACGCACACAAACACGCGTACACACAGACACGCACCCAGATGAAGTCCAGTAGGGCCCCAATGACGTCCACAGCTCCTTTTCCTCTTCGATCAGATGATTTTGGAGCAGTGACACAGCGCCGATGGTCATAGCAGGACTGGCCACTGACGCCGCTAGCGCCGGCCCCCCCGTCGTTTTTACCATCTGTGAAAGAGACGTTTCTACACTCAGTATCACAGAGAGAGAGAGAGAGAGAGAGAGAATCTACTACAGGATGGAAGGACTCACCAGTCCGAGAGGCACAAAGATGTGATGAAGCAGCTCTGGTGCATCAGGCTCTGCGATGGCTGACTTGAGACGGTCCTGAATAAACCAGCAAATTGGCTTATTTTACCTTTTCATTGTCACCGGTTTTATCTAAATTGTACATTTCCAGAGTTAATCAATGCTCTATTAAGACCGCTTTTAACTCACCAGCAGGCTGAGGGAATACTTGATTTTCTGAAAGAGGTCCACAAAGTCATTCTCTGATGGAGGGGAAGCTTTCAGGGCCAACAAACCTTCTGCACGGAGGAGCAGAATCACAACTACATCTTAACAGGAAACTCATAACTCCACCACAAGCATTTTGTTGCTGTACGTAAATTCAAACTTAATATTAGGAGGCGTCATTAATATATTTATTGAGTTATTCAATTATCTTGAACATTTTACAAACTGCAAATTGAAAGAGTTTGTCAACACCTTGAGCGAGATGAATGAATAATCCAAAAGAAGAATAACAAAAACAGACAAAAGTATAGAATAGGTTGTTGAGTGCAGTTCTAGCATGTTCCAGAAAGTACTCTGGTGGTGACTAATAACAATCTTCTATTTTATTATTAATACATTTATACAACCATTGGCTTTAGCCTTAACTGGGGTCATACAAATCCCAGCTTTACCTGATCATGTTGCAACGAACCAACACACACGTTGTCAATTTATTACACATATATAGTCTCTTTCCGGGATTGACTTGGCCTCAGCTCCAATCATTTCTTTGTCCTCTTCCTTGTACGTGCCGGCCTGCAGGCGGTAATTTCATAATACTCCCAAGAATCTTTTGGCCCCTTGCCAGTTGATCATCTTCCAGAGCGTGAAGTAGTGTGCTAATATTTGTCCTTTGTCTCAAGTTTCCTTCCTCCACCAGAAGCCAAAGATCTGTTGCCAAGCGCCACCAACTATTTAACTGCCCGTCTCTGCCACCAACTCATCTACACATCTTCAAACTTTAAACCTAAATATAACATTCAACGTCGAAGGTAAGTGAAAGTATTCATTTAATTTAGACCACCCATGTTATATTATAACTACTGTGATATTTCAGTGAAACTCTCACCGTCTTGGTCCTTCTTCTTGCTCTTCTTGCCTCTCTTTTTGCTCCTTTGGTTGAGAACACTCTGGGCCTCAGCGGCCTGCTGCAGGCGAGCCATGAAGCGCTCCACATCGTCAAAGCAGTGGTTCATAGACTCCTAGAAAGACACAGCATGTCTTACAAGACCGAGCTCCACAAATTATTTGGAAAGTCAAGAGTTCATATTACTGGTATTTTGTTAGTGGATAAAGCAACAAACAAGGAAGCAGTAAGCTGTAATATTTCCTGATGTCTCGTTTTAAATTCGTCTTTTTTTGCTTCACCCAACATCAAAACTTTGTTACCAGTGTGCTAAAGATACTGCTGAAGAATGAATACTAAAATATATCCTTTTGAATAAATACAGTATGTGGTTTGTAATGATAAGGGACCTCATTCTGTCTAAGATTTATTGCACAGATTGCCTCCTGCTCCCATTTGGATTTAAACTATTATTGATTATTTGGAAGCTTAAACCCTTTAGTCAGCATACATGCAAGAAAAATGATCTACACGCGTACGTACCAATTCACTCTCTGCATTCAGTAGGGACGTATAGTTGGAATCCCCAGTGGCACATTTCTCTGAGCAGAGGAAGAACAAAACCATTGACAAAATTTGTACAAAATCAAACAAAGGTTTGCTATTTTTTGTCAATATGAAGTAGGATACTGTACTATAATGCATCTTTGTGGCACACACACACACATATATATACACACACTAAGCAGATGAATTTACTGTACCTTTGTAGATGTTTGTGTTGCTTTTCGGGCCACCAGGAGAAAGCTGCTCCCCTGGAATTAACCCGACTCGGAAATGCTTTCTAGGGGCCACCGGAGGCGGCGATGCAGACATCTGTTGTGTGAATGCAGAGTAAAATCATGCACATACAATAGGAATAATGCTCCTTTATCTAAATTTTTACTGGTATTCCACCTTTTGAGTGATGTTTTAACACCTCTTTTATTATTATCCCACTATACATTATTGGCGTTACTTCTTGTGAATCGTACCTCGGTTGTTAAATGTTTATATTTTTCTAACTGAACTAATTTGAATATATTCAAAAAGGATGAATGAGTGTAGATTATTGCCGCATTCCTCAGGCTGATTGTAAGAATGCAGAAAGTATTTACACCCGTTCTGCGACGTGCATGTGAGTGACACATATACCTGACAGGAAAAACCACTGACATCATTGACATGGTATGCAGACAACGCAACAACACAATGTTACTAAATAAACCGGGGCTGTTGAATATAAAAGTGTTTGCTTTGGAAACACATTGTATCTTTGACACGTCTTGTGCTCGTCTCCTTGCATTTCCTTTGTCGTCCATTGTCTTCCAACACTATTTACTACTACTACTATTTAACCAGTTAATATGACATAGACTATTTCAATCATTAACATTTTTACATAAAATGGACATAACACAGAAAAGGCCTCTCACACAAATGATTAAAGACAAATTATGTTCTAATGGGTCAAGATGGAGTGAAGCTGCTTGAAAAGTCTCCTCTGAGCACTATAATACTGACACAAACTAAGTGAACTGGTCTCACTAACACACAGATAGACACAAACACAAACCAACACTCACATAACACATAGAATCCACATTTATAATTTAGATACATTACTGTACCTTTTAGAGTTGTTTGTTTCAATCATGGCACAGAGACCAATCCTCACGCTGAGTTGTATCAGTATACTGGGTGAAGATACACATTGAGGTCCCACCTCGTCGAGATATGCAGAAACGGGAAAAACGAGTTCAGCTTTCCTTTCTACGTTGTTTTCACCCTCCTCTAGTTCTCTAACATAAAAAACACACACACGCTTCCCATCCTTCTTTCTGCATCTTTGTGAGCTTGACCTAAAGTTTCCTTTTTAAATCTTTGTCATGGAATTTATTTTTGAAACGGTCCAAATATGTCAGGTCAAAACATGTCTAAAAATAATCCTCACTACAATAATACAATACCAGGTTACAAGAAAAGGAAGTAGGATCGTGGCTTTGTGGAAACTAGTTGGTGAACAGTGACCTCCACTGTTGGTTAGAGGACATCGACATTATCGTTTCGTCCCTCCAACAATGAGCCTATAACTTTATGAAAATGATTAGTGTTAACCCTAAAATTCCTCAGAAAAATCTCCTACCCAAATCACAGGCACCATGAACTTGAAGTTAAATGCCACTTGTTTTCCATTTGTGCGAACAAGACGCGTGAAGTGATATTGGCTCATTCTGTACACCTGTCTGTGCCATGATCTAAATTATTTGGGACTTAATTGGGAATGAATTTGGCGCGCATTATTTGTATGCATTTTTATTCTACGTTCTCTTGCGCAGCCATGACTTTACTTTTGGCACAGATGCAGGCAAAGTTATACAGTTATAATCCGCATGTCCAGATTTAAGTACACTCCAAAGCAGTGCAACGACAGTGACCACGTGTAATTGCGCCAAACTGTCACCGGTGTTTTTGTCACACCTACTGGCCACACAAAGGAACGTCGAGCAGAGCGTGTTGTTCCCCCCCACGCAACGTTTTGGGGAAGGGCCGTTCGGCCCCCTCGTCCCTCCCACTGGCTTCTTCTGCGCTAACTTCTCCTTCACGTCTCCTCGGGTTGCCAGGGAGAAAGTTTGCTCCAGCGCAAGAAACGTGTCCGCGAAGCAACCCGTCTGCGCGCGACGTTCCTTCCCCAGCAAACTATTTGTCAGCCCGATTATTTGCAAAATCAAACATAGTATCGGCGGTGTAAATAAAAGGAGGCGGGGGGTGTGGGGGAGATAAAGTGACGAGCAGAGAAACCAACTCCAGGACTTCAGAAACTCGTGGCTTCTCTCTTGGAGCGCGCGGTCAGCATGGTACGTCCGCAACACACCGACGCCTTTGCGCCTAACCAACGGGACCGAAGGGCCTCTAATATTTAAACATCCCGGTGCTTTCATTGTTTGCTTCTGTCTTTTGCTTGACTGGTTTCCCCCTTTTTCGTTGTAAATTCTTGTTCTCACATGTTGTGTGATGTATAGACTCCTTTGTTGCTTACGCGCGTCATGAATCGGCTTTATGGCTGCGGCTTAAATAATCTCTGCTGCGCTGCTGAACTTCTCTACATTTGTTCAAAAACATACCAGTGGTGCTATGTTATGTTTCGAAATACTGTCATAGCTACACATTCCTATTATTATTATTATTATTTCAACCACATGTCCATGTTGATGTGTCCCTTCACTCTTGGCTCTGACTACAACATTGATAACAATCTCTCTTAAAGGTCTTATGTGGATGTAAACCGCTTCACATTAGCATTTTAAATTCATGATCATGGTTCCATTTTGACTTAAGTGTGACAGAAGTGCAACCATCCACGAACTGACAAACCTCACCGAAGCCAGTATGTAACCCAAAATTGTATTTAATGACTTGTATATACGTTTTATTATGGTATCCTTTGGCAATGAGACACTAATGAGAGGGAAATTGGTGAGTGGTTCTATGATTGACAGCCACAATGCTATACCAGTAAAGTAATCCCAGGGTGTGTGTGTGTTAAGAAAAGCCTATTGTATGTGTAATTGCTATTGTTTACCTGTGCAGGGTGTTGGTTTCCTTTAGAACAATGCAAACTGGGGTAGATTCAAGACCTAAACCATGTTGGGGTCGGTAGAGAAAGTTAAACAAACATACCTGTGGATTTTGGCGGACGATAAAGCTCCCATTCTGCAGCTCCTTGGTGCATTTCTACGACCGCTGTGATTCATTTCATAGTATGCTACATTGTAAATGTCGATTTATCACAACTATTTATCACTAAAAACCAGATGGCGCGATGAGTGTGATGGTTTCATTTACTAGTTCCTGAGTTGTCTCCCTCAAAGGCCTTGCGTAAGTGTTACCAAAGATTCTTTTACGGAAAAAAAGACTCTGCGTCCTCAAACATGATGCTGACATGTAAAATCACAAGTGTGAAAGGGTCTTTATTCTGTCTGTTTGCACAAGGCAGGGTGTCTGCACACATGCTGTTTAAAGCATCCAGCCACATTATGTGTGAACACATAAAAACAAAGTGTTTCAAATACAAGTGACTGACATATTGCAACTTTATGCTTTTTTCTACATGTAGAACCATCATTTCTGTATCATGAGACAAGTTCAGTATGACCCTTCTTATGGAATTTAGATAACATTAAGGCTTTTATAACGCATTATGTCTACCTAACCTATGTATAGTGTTTTTAGAAAAATCTTAACTTGACTGACAATATTTATTTAGAGTTTATTTAATGAATTTGTACACAACCGCAGCCGCATACCACTTTCATTTAGTATTTACTGTGTAAATACAGGGATTGGGGGGGTTGGGGGGGGGGCACTATTCTGGCAATAAAGTTTTTTTCTGGAGGAAGGGAACATGTACTGAAAGTGTTTTTCTAACTAACCCTTACCGAAAACAGTTAAAATTATTTTTAGTTATAATGATTTAATAAATATAATATAGTAATTTTCTTTGTTTGAATAATACACACACACATACATATGGTGTAACATGTGTGTAAAATGACAAGATCACAGCAATCAATAACAAAATACCCCACTTTTGGAGTTTATCCAGTCTAACAGTCTTAAATAACTTTCTTTGAGTATGTTTTTGGTTTTAGGCGGGTCTTTGTGTATTTTCTATTGCAGTTCAGTGAGGACAGATGTGTGGTTTCCATCTTGTACCAGAGATAGACCCTGGCTGACCAATGGGAAAGAATGAACAACCACTCTCTGTGTGTGTGTGTGTGTGTGTGTGTGTGTGTGTGTGTGTGTGTGTGTGTGTGTGTGTGTGTGTGTGTGTGTGTGAAAAGAAGGTACACCACTACGGTTATTCACACATATCAGTTCACAGTGTGACACAGATTGTGATTCAGGTAACCTTGGTCAATACCTATTCAAGGTTAGCTTAATCTTGGGGGCTTCAACTGGTTGAGCACAAATGGTTTATGTGCTCAACGTTGATTTGTACTCGGTTACTTCATCATCATAATCGTGGCAGATCCTTTTTCCACTTCCCCCACGTATCAATTGACTGATTGTTCACGCCTGAGAAGTACCGTTGGAGGATGTTTGACGGACTCGTCACCACTACCACCACAAAACGCACGCTTGTGTCTTTGATAAATTTTGTCCTCAAAAGGTTGACGAAAAATTCCTCATGAGCTTCTCTTGTTACCAACCCTACACACACCACATGGTGCACCCGTGCACTTCAGCACCACCCACAGTGTGAGCCAATGTGAGCCCAACACCTCCCCCTCATTGTACCCACCCAATCCCAACTCCACAACACCGGAGACCCTCCTTCACCCACAGACATGCCTCGTGGCTGCTGCTCTTCCCTTCCCATCTATTTATGTGTGCGCACATATATTTGTGTCACTCTCCCACACTTTTCTATGTGTGTGTGCGCGCGCGCGTGTGTGTGTGTGTGTGTGTGTGCACGTGTTTCGTAAATCACCTGACGTATCTGCCCGTGCGTGTGTCCTGACCGGTCAAGTGCTCTACTAGGTCAAACGCCACCTGTAATTTTCCATTCTCACCAGCTGATTGTAGCAGCAACGCTGTGTTCTAAAGCCAGCTGGGCACACGTTTGGCCGTTTGGGGTCCGGCTCACCCACGTGAGCAAAGTCAGTTGGTGTGTGTGTGTGTGTGTGTGTGTGTAGTTCAAGTGCAGCCTGATGATCTGATTACATTTGAGCCAACGGGCTCATTCACCAGTTTTTAGGACACAGACCACACTGTGTGTAATGACTCAAGAGTTTTCTTGACAATGTTGAGACGTGGGTTTTGTTTTATAAAATGCAGACCATACAGACCGAGCGCGTAGTGTCTCAGTATATTTCCCACATGGAACATATCATCCTTGTTTGTTTAGAACAGTTCTTGCAGCAGCTACATGTTACAATCGGGTTTCCATATGGACGGTCGAGGTTGAAAAGCCCGGTGTAGTTTCTGTGGGCTCTCAATGGTCTTTAGTTTTAACAAACACTGTACACCTTTCATATCCTTATATTATTTCTATATATGACTCATGAAAAATAGAGTAAAGGTGTTGCTAAATGTAATTTTGTGGACACATACTTTTCTTGAGGCCTTTATTTTGACTGTCTCTGTCGATACGCGAATCACTTTTACATCAATGAGTTCTCAGTGAAGTTCATTGTTCTTCTCCTTTGTTTACGCCAGACGGAGAAACCTCCACTGGACAGCAACGAGACTCCAGCCTGGTTGGGTGCGGGTCGGTCTGAAACGCAGCTTACAGCGGGCCAAGATCCAGACGCAGTTGAGACATGCGATGCCGACCGACCTGCATGGGACTCTAAGATCCAGTACGTGTTGGCACAGGTGGGGTTCAGCGTGGGCCTCGGGAACGTGTGGAGGTTCCCGTACCTTTGCCACCAAAATGGAGGTGGTGAGTGTCTTTTTCTGGACTTTTCCGCTGTGTACTTTTGACCGCAGCTCTCTTCAGGATGCTCACATGGGTGTTTTTGATGCATTAGACAAACACGACATCACCTTCATGTTTTAAAATGTCCCTTGCTTCCTTCCAGGGGCCTTCATGCTGCTGTATGTTTTTCTTTTAACAATTGTGGGAGTTCCACTGTTTTTCATGGAGTTGGCGGCTGGCCAAAGCATTCGCCAAGGGAGCATCGGTGTGTGGAAGCACATCTCCCCAAAGCTGGCCGGGATCGGTTACTCCAGCTGCATCGTGAGGCTCGGCTTTCTTTACTCTACATGATTTTGTTCTGGTTTTGGGTTTGTAATTTAAATGGACGAATGAAAAGTTTGGTTTATTTATTAGTAGGGGCGAATTAAAGGCAGAATGGAGAGCCAATAACATCCATCGTCCATCATGATTACATGATGGACGATGATTACTTATAACTTATAGAACCCCGGCGAAGCTGCCATGGTTCAATAGCTGGCTGACTTTCGGGTTTTAAAGTATTTTAGATCTGAGCCCCACATTTAAAAGATTTATAAGCACGAATGTCTTCGTCCACTGGTCTCATGAAAAAACAACTTTCTTTTTATTATTAGCACTGTGTATGTGTACTTAAGAAAAGGACGCTGATGATTTGAGAGAAGCAGTGAGCTGAATCGCTGGATGTTTGTTTGCATAACACTATTCCCTTCAGACGAAACAAGGCAAACACAGAGTCCTCAGGAACTGTCTGTGCACACACAACAACACACAAGCATACTTGTATGCTATGTTGTTTTTTCCCCCATTTTTTCTCTTAAAATCATAAATAACTGTGTGTAAATATTGAAAATTTAGTAAGTAAATAATTCATGAATGCTTTGTTCTCCTCTAGGTCTGTTTTTACGTGGCTCTTTACTACAATGTTATTATCGCATGGAGCCTGTTCTACATGGGCAATTCCTTTCAGTATCCTCTGCCGTGGGAGCACTGCCCAACTGATGTGACCACCAATGACACAGGTACTGACATATTTGAGGCATTGGTCAAAATAAGGTGTCATGTACTGTAGTTGCCAGTGAGGTCTAGGATGTCTGTTCTCAATCAACAGTGAAGGAGTGCGCAGGTTCTTCCCCAACGTCATATTTCTGGTTTCGGAAAGCTCTTAACATCACAAACTCCATCGACGAATCGGGAGAGTTGAACCCAATCATGACGGGGTGTTTGTTGGCGGCCTGGGCGATCGTGTCTCTGGCTATGATCAAGGGCATCAAGTCTTCTGCTAAGGTGAGATAACCTTTCTTCTCTTTGTCAGCGAGCATGGAGGGATATCAACGTCATCGTTAGAAAAACTACATTTCTAAAACATAATTAATAACCTTTATTGCTGGGAGGCAGATTTAGTTTTCTCCAGACGAAGCCACCCGTTTCCAGCCTAAATGCTACGCTATGCTAACTAGTGGGATTAGTCTTTTCATCTAATGGTCAAACAATTCCATTTTAAATGCTCCAGCACTGAAACCCTCCCCCCTTTCTTCGTCCCAATCTTAGGTGATGTACTTTTCCTCGGTCTTCCCCTACGTGGTTCTCTTTATTTTCCTCATCAGAGGGTTGATGTTGGACGGTGCGATTGAAGGAATCACCTTCATGTTTTATCCTAAGGTAAGCGCAAACTTCACCATGTGTTTATTCATAATCACGTGTTGATTTGTCTCTAATATTTTGAGTTTGGGCTAATTTATACCTAAAAAGGGTTTTGTTTCGTGATCATTTTCAGTTGGAAATCTGGGGTAGTATGCAGGTGTGGCGCCAGGCTGCTACACAAGTGTTTTTTGCCCTGGGACTCGGCTACGGCTCCGTTATAGCTTATTCCTCCTACAATCCCGTCCACAACAACTGCCACAGGGACGCGCTGATGGTCTCAGGCATCAACTTCGCAACGTCCGTTCTGGCCTCGCTGGTTGTTTTTGTCGTGCTGGGTTTCCGCGCCAAGAACATTGCATTACGCTGCGTGGCAAAGTACGGCTGCCTCTGTCTGTGTGTGTGTGTGTGTGTGTGTGTGTGTGTGTGTGTGTGTGTGTGTGTGTGTGTGTGTGTGTGCGTGTGTCCACGAATATTTACTTCCCTCAGTTTGCAATCATTACCATTTACCGCAATATTTTTAACAGTCAAGCCCAAATGTTTAGTTTACACAGTGTCTGAAGTAACTTGTTTTGCCCAAGTGGTGCTTTACTTCTATGTTATCCTTCTACTCTAACGTCCTCCAGAAATCTTGGGTCTTCTAAGCATGATGTCCTCCTTTGAATCGTCTCCGCTCTTGGCCGGCTCGGTCGGCCCGGGATCAACGCGAGCGATCCGAGCGCCGTGTCTTTAGCTGAATACAGAGAGTGGTACAGTCACCACGGCTCAGCTCTGGCTCCTAACATCACGGACTGCAGCCTGGAAGAGGAGATGAACAAGGTACACCGGAGATATCATTTTAAATCATCCTTCTTTTTAAGTGGGCTATCAACATGTGCCGGGCTTCACAAAATCTGTTCTAAGAGGGATGAAAAATATCTCAGAAAACCATAAAGTTAAAATTAGCAAAGACAACAATTGTAGGGTTAGTAAAATCTATTTTAAAATAAACTGAAGGACTTTTTACTCGTACCAGTACTAATTAAAGCTTCTTGACCCTTTTACACACATGGTGCACAGTGAAAATCTGAGTTTAGAGCAGCTGTTTATCCATAAAGCACCATGAAACATTTTAATACGACTCCCTTTTACAGAACACAAGAGAGAGAGAGAATATTTCCAAAGGTTTCTTCACTCAAAAAACAATCCGGGATTCATATATTAGAACAATAATCGTTCCCATGACCGCTGAGAAATATGTGAGGTTGTGCAGAATATCCAGCTGCTACGTGGAAGAAAACACGTGGGAAACCGTATCTAGTTGGTCTCGCGGTGAAATGGGAGCAAGCTGTGATAGAAGAGTGAAAAGAAGAAACTAAATAAACAGCTGTTGAGGTATTAACATGTATCTTATCTTAAAGAATACTCACTTCTTAGTGCAGACTGCCATAGGAGGGCTTCTGGTGGGGTGCTGTCAGAGTTTATCTTCAAATAGGGCTCCAAATAATGATGCTTACGATGGGGCAATGTTCTCGCTAAGTGAGACTGATTTGAAATCAACACGCTTGTCTGGTTTTCTTTTGGACGTGCATGGAACTCTTCGATCATAATTTCTAAAATTCTCGTTCAGACTCTTCTGCACTGCCTTTTCCATCTTTTCCCTTTCTATGCGTGCAGGGCGTAGAGGGGACGGGGCTGGCGTTCATTGCATTCACAGAGGTGATGGCCCTGTTCCCTGCCAGCCCCTTCTGGTCCACGCTGTTTTTCCTAATGCTGCTGAACCTGGGCCTCAGCACCATGTTTGGGACCATGCAGGGAATCCTCACACCTCTCATGGACAATTTCAGCCTTCTGGGCCGTCACCGGACTCTTCTCACTGGTGATGCAAACAGATCGACACGACTTCTCACAGCGCTCTGTACTATAGGCACCTATCATTGTTGTTTCAAAGGACCTTTGTCCAGGTGTACTTTTTAAATGATATATTTTGACGTTTCAAATATAAATATTCGGCCTATGTTCGGATATTTTGGTGTCTGTGTACAGTTGTCTCGTCACACGGCTCAGATGACACTGTTTGCCTTCTCTTTTGCTTCCTAGTGTCCAGCTGTGCGTTGGGCTTCTTGATCGGACTGCTGTTCACTCAGCGCTCGGGCAACTATTTTGTGACTATGTTCGACGACTACTCTGCAACTCTACCGCTGGTCATCGTTGTAATCTTTGAAACCTTTAGTGTGGCGTGGGTTTATGGAACTGATCGGTAAGAAACCCATAATCGCGAACGTCAGCCGTTCAATTGTTTCTGTGCATTTTCTTTGCGTTTTATTCCTTATCTCCGGTAGATGTTTTCTGTCACCGGCAGCTTCCCGGGATGACATTGAAGTCATGCTTCAATTGGCGCCCTCCAGTGGTGTACAAATAATCTCTGGAAAATATGTTTGTCTGCTGTCGATGGTTGGTCTTCTTACTGCAAAGTTTGGTTGCGTATGTTCTTTAAAAAGGCCCACGTACACCGCCTGGAACCAAACCACAGTAAGATACAGCTTTTTGTCCTGTGCAAAACAATGTGACGTACAAAAGCCTTTGTTATGGTTTACAACATACATGACGTACTAGATTTGTATATTTCTCCCCCCAACTGCACTCAAAAATAAATATTGAAGCAACTTAATATGTATTATTTTTACAATGTTTTTAATGTTGTGATTAATTTGATTTACTTCTATGCATGAACTTTTTCACATTCATATATATTAATACTCTTATAACTGCTAAAAGACACTTTTATCTGAAGGAATAATTGAATAATTCTGTGCAATTTTGTCATGATCATGAAGTGTTTGCACTGTTGTTTTTGACAGTTAACTCTTAAGTCGCGCCTGCCCTCATTTGGTCCCTCTGACATGCGGTTCCTCCTCTTGTCTTCAGGCCTCTGAGGCCACTCTGGAGTACCCAGGCTGGGCTCTTGGCATGATCATCACGCTGATCGTCTGTGCCAGCCTGCCCGTTCCCATCGGCTACATCTATTTCACGTTGAAAAACCCCAAAGCCGGTAACACTCGCTCCGCGGACGGAGGTGGCCACGAGATGCACCGAGAGTTTTACACCAAGTGCAGCTCCACCGAGCAGCTGGAGTCGCCTCACCGGGTTCCCGCTGAGGAAGACGAGGCTCTTCCCAGGACAGCCTTCCTGGCGACGGGCAACGAAAATTACCGACTCTTGCCCCAGCTGGAGGTGGAGGATGATGATGATGATGAACAAGATACAGAAGTTTGAACATTGCTTAGCGAGGATGAGATGTTTTATACGTTGAACAGAGTGCATGCTGGGTAAGACCCCGTGACAGAGATTGCAAAGTGAAGGGAGCTTGGTCATAAGCGTAATCGTTTTTGCGTTGCAGATACATCAGAAACTAACATGCTGCTATATTTGATGAAGCAAAGGATTCATGGAAGGTTTTAGAGTAGGAAAGTGACTCCATTGTCTTTAGTTTCTGCCGGCCTGGTTGCCTACGTTGACCGGCTCTTTGAGGAACACAGCGATGGACAAAAATAGGCTTTATAACTATTTCTAGTTGTGCCAAGTATGCATTGTATAATGTGAACGTGTGCGCGTGTGTTTGTGTGTGAAAATGTGCGTTCATTTTTGTTGTAACATAGTTTGGATTTGAAATTACAGATGTTAATATGTCAGTAAAATAACTTTATTTTACATTATATTTGTATAATTTTACCTCACGAGACCACAGAAATGTTTCTAAATGGCACAATGTGTTCAGCGTAGCATGATTGTACTGTACTAGATGAGGACTCAGTAAACCTCTAGATGGCAGCAACTTGACTGAATAGTGATTTCTCCTTTTTTTAATGATTTATACTTCACCTTTGAATCCTAATTATTTCAACCTTCCTAAATCGAAAACAGTATTGTTTATGTTTATTAAGGTTAAGAAAGTCTAAGAAAACATTTTGTATTTTTTTTTTGTGCTAATTTGTCATGAACCTGAAGGCCCTTTTGCAGAATACGTTTGGTTAACCATCATAAATGAACATTTTGGCTGCAAATACAGTACACCATGTTGTTATGCAGGTGTCATACATTTAATTTTGCCACACACACAAAGCTCAACATCAAATCAACGTGTGTTCAACCTTTCAGAAAATTGTGCATTAAAAGTTATCTTAATTATAATCTAGGTGTGATCCGTTGCCACTTGTATTTAGATCCAGTAAGATTGTATGGGCTTTCATTTGTAATCATCAAATCTCAGTGCACAATTCAGCGGCCCGTCTGGAAGTCAATTGGAGGCTTGTGCGTGTAACGGGGGAGGAGGAGGGGGGGGGGGGGGGGGGGGGGGGGGTGAGAGGGGGGGGGGAGGGACCGAGAAGAGGGAGGAATTTGCACGGTCGGGCAGGACAGGAGGAAGCGCGGGACATCAGCAAACCAGCCGGGTCAAGAAGAATCTGCAGGGATGGAGATCCGACCAGACAGGTTTAAGGCGGCCGCGGGAAAAACTCTGGGGAGAATTAACAGGTACAAAGAAATCTCAAATATTCCTCCTCACTCCAAAAGGACTTTGTCACCAGTTTGGTGATTTTGTTTCTGCAGGACTCAGCAGGACAGTTCGCCCTGCTAATTCCCACCCGATCTCCTCCAAACAGTATACATGTAGTGGAGAAAAAAGTTAGTTTTTTAGACATTGATTCCAATGGAAACAAAGGCGAGTAATTGGTTCCATCACGTCGGTGCAGCCCAGCTGTAAAAAAAAAAAAAAGAGCACGGTGCTTTCATTGACACAAGTGGGTGAAATATGCTGTGAGTGGGAGAAATAAATTGTCTGGTTCATTTTTCTGTGGAGCGGAGAGGAGTCATGTGTGTGCAGTCATCAGGGTGAAGGTGTGCAGTGGACGTGTTTCTGCGCTCCGGACAAGGTGCTTTCTCGTGTCCGCACGATTCGATCCGCACGTTTCCTCTGAAATCGTGAATGTTGCTGTTGTGTCTGGAAGTCTTTCTTTTCTCGTGTTTGATGGTTTGTTTCTGTTTGCTATAGTCAAATTTAGCCAAACTCCATTATGTATGAGACGAGTGTGTGAGTGTGGTTACATAATGTCTCCGAATGAGGTGGTTATAAGAAAATGATTATAACATATTTAATATCCATCTATCCATGTATCCATTCTTCTATCCATAAAACACATTTTATGAAACTCAAAAATGTTTTTGTATCACAGTCAATGCTGTGTAAAGTTGACTGATAAAGCAACATACCAACATACAATATTATTGTATTACAGAATATTACTGTAATGCAAAGCTGAAACATAGTTAATTGATTAATCAAGGAACTTGATTGGCAACTTTTTAAAATCGGTTTTTAGTATTTATTTGCTAAACCTCTTTTTAACGTCTCACTTCCACTTTTATTTAAGGACTAAAGTAACCAAAGTAAATTAAATCTGTTCAGCTTTGGTATCTCGTGGCCTTCACACAGTATGTCTTCGAGATGGTTAATGAAGAAACTGACCCTGACTATAATTTATGAGTATTTTTCAAAGAACAAACTTTTGTTTAGAAATGTGCTATGACAAATTTTCATGTTTATAAATTGAATATTATTCAAAAAGCAGCAACACAAAGCTTTGGAAAAAGAGTTCTGACAATATTTTAGTAAAAATCAAAGAGATTAAAGCTACTGATGGATCCTCATGCAAAAACCATTGCTTAAGCTTTCACTCTGTTCGGATTTGAGGTAGCAACCAAACGTATAAATCCCGTCCTGAAATAGCCTGTTTTTCAGTCCAGCTGTCGAGCCACGCAAATCCCTAAACTCTCCCCTCCCACCCACTCCATCCAAGCCTATGTCACTTCCTCCCGCCGCTCCCTCCTCCATCCACCCATCCATCCATCCATCGAGCCATTGAGGCATTGAGACACCGCACGAATAACTTTCAGCCTACTGGCGTCTCCCAGATTAACGGACATGCAAATCTCACGCTTCTTCTGATTGACCGGTTGTGTGTTCGCACAGACACAGCTGAGATGCGATGCATAAGATTGGATCCAGATTGGTTTTAGTGGGCGTAGCCTCGGATTAGCCAGTTAATGCTCATGTGTCCAAAAAAAGTGAATACGTTGTTCAAATTCATGTGCAAGATGCCCGGTTTATAAATCACTGCATGTGTGAACACATTGCATCCTGATCACAGGAGATCTCTGCACTGTGTGAATAACTGTGTGTGTGTGTGTGTGTGTGTGTGTGTGTGTGTGTGTGTGTGTGTGTGTGTGCGTGCAATCTCACCACCACACAGACAAAATCCCTCCTGATGAAAGCAGCCAGGAGTTCATCTATTATTTAAACATTTTCTCCATCAGAATGCATCTCGTGTTTCTATATTAAACTCCACTAGGCACAAACTTCATCACTGTAAGGTCAAGTGCACGCTACACGCTACACTTACACTTCTGCTGTTTCCCCTTTAAACAACCAATTAAAGTCGGGCCTGTCATGTATTGTTGTTGTAATGTTATGTACTTTTTGTACCAAGAAGCTAGATTCCACAGCATTATGTCAAATATAATCTCACTACAACTGTCTTCTCAGATTTCTAATAATATTCCTTTTCCATTTGATTGGAATGACATATACAGGTTTATGATGGCTGTGGAGCTACATTTTCAGTTTCTTACACTGTGGTGTAAAAAGTGGAATAAATTAGATATTAAAATAATGATGTCATGATCCCACATCTGTAACCATTCAGGATTTGGAAACTGCAAAAACTACAAAAGTTTGGGCACCATTTTCATTCATTTAACAACTCAAGAAAAGTAATTGTTACATTATAAAATAATGGTTTCCATTACAGTTCTACATTTGTTAAATGTAATATTGCATTTAATTTGTCACTTTTGCACAATCCACTGGCTAAATATTTTCAATATGAAGGAAAAGTCAAGATGTAAAGTACATTACATACATACATTTTGACATATGACAACTCTTCATCAGATTTTGAATTCTCAGTTTAGTGATTGTGATTATGACGATGGCAGTCAGTGGTAAAGCCATTGAACCGGTCGTCATCGTGGTTGACTTTCTCTGCCTGCCGGACTCCGGTTACTGTCCATAACGCCATTAATGCTTCATTGAATTTACTCTGCTGGCAGGCAAAGGACCCGTATGAGAGTAGATGTTTTTATTAGTCGTTTGACGTCGCTCAGATCATCACTAAAGGTGGTGAGAAGCTGTGTGTGTGTGTGTGTGTCCAGACGCACTCGCACAGGGATTGAGTTACACTATGTGACAAATTAGATAATACGTCTATGAAGGTCACACGCGTGTGTGTACCTGTGTTTCTATAATGGTGTGGGTGTGTGCGTTGGAGGGAGTGTGTGTGAAAACACAGTGGTGTGGCAGGATGGGGAGGAGGGGGTCTCCCTGGGTGACACAGTCCCACCGAGACCCAATCTGTTCACTTCAGGGAGGAGGAGAGGCTCGTGCAGGAAGTGAAGAAGGGGAAGGGGAAGGGGGGGACACCACTTTAGAAATAACAAAATTGCTCCTTTTTTAGACAAGAGCACTGGGGTTTGGGGCGCTGACATCGAGAAAGAAAAGCATGATTTACATGCAGCACGATGGAGGATCAATTCAGCACATGGTTGGGAAAAAGAATGACCGGGCGTTATATAATATTTTTCTGCATGTCAAGCTCCCGCTGTCTCTCTCTCTCTCTCTCTCCCTTTCTATCATCCTCTTATCGGAGGATTACGCAGAACGCTCTGTGAATTGGTGAATTTAATATAGAAGGAAACAAAAGTCCCAGGTCACCAACCAGCATGTGAGACTCACAGTGTTATTTAGTCGAAGCTGAGACATTATTGCAAAATTACAAATTATGCTAAATTAAAGTAATTTTCTCACAATTTAACAGCAAATACAAAAGGATACATTTTATGGAAGTAACCAGCAGACAAATTTCTAAAACGATGATAGGAATAGGGACAAAATGAAATCCACGATTACATTTTTTTAAATAAAAAAAAAATAAAAAATTCAAATAGTAAACTAGTTGACTCATTCCGGTGGAATTTGTAAATTTTGTGTCAGAATTTATTTAATTTTTTTCTACGTGGTGTGTCAAAATGTGCATCTTGTGCTCAGGGGAAAAGAACACACAGTTTGAGGTGTGACTCCGTCTCCACTGAGCCTGTTACTTTTGTAATTATGATATTTCAGAGGGCCTGCGGTCCCACTCACGTTCATGCTCTCTTGCTTGTTAATTGTTTCCAGCTGAGACCAATCAGGTCGTGCTAACAAGCTGAGTGCCAGCATGCAGAATGGCTCAGAATGCCTCACGCTGCCTCACGCCAAGGCAAAGGTCCCTGCTCGCTGTGTTTCATACCGGTACTTGCTCACAGACATGGCAAACGCTGACATGTGTTAAAATTACAAGATTTTTCTGTAAAGCACCAATAAACATACTGCAACATACAGACAGCTATTTTGAGGCCTTTGCACACACACACACACACACACACACACACACACACACTAGAGCGAGATTGCCCTTCAGTGGGAAGCATCTGTAATCGGCGGATGCTTTTGCTGCGGGCTAGCCTCGTTAGCTGGTAGCGTATGTGTAGGTGTCAGGCCGCAATCTGTCGTGAGGTCTAATGAGGATCCTCCTGCAGCCTTCACTTGCTCCACAGCGGGACACGCAGCTCCATTTAGAGGGCGAGTCGGCACATTTGTTTAGTAATGAGAGGACAGCATTGTGTGCAGCAAAACAAGTGCACAAAACATCTTCATTTTTGTCCCATTAGCTTTTTGATCACGTTTTTTGCTTAGATTTATAGAATTTGTAAGTAGATTGTCTCTCTGTTTCTGGTGTTTAGAACACTGTGGAGGGATGTGCACCTTCCGGTAAATAAATAAAATGTGTCTCCATATACTTTAGCTAAAACAATGATATATATATATATATATATATATTTTACTTAGGTCTGCGCTTTTACCAAAAAAGAGATGCGACAAAAATAATGGACATTTGAAAATAATAAACCACTGATGTGTAAGGGAAAAAAATCCAATTTACAAAATGAACTCTGCCGTGTGTTTAAAATGCCTGGAGAAGCACGCCGATCTACGGCTGGCGATATTCTGTCCTTCCATATTCATTTCCGGAAGTAAATCATTTTCGTAATCCTAATCTGAATGTAGTGACGGATTAAGAGCGCGAGAGAGAGAGAGAGAGAGAGAGAGAGAGATAGAGAGGATGCTGTTCTCTCTCTAATCTCTTACAAATTCCAAACTTTACTTTTTTCGTTTTCTTTTGTGTTTTACTTTACAACCCACATATCTCAACATTCAGTATTAATTAATACATCATTATACTGCCAAATCTTGTATTTTTCCGTCTTTTTATTGGCGGATTGCATCGTTGTTTAAAAAGATTATGCAGAGGGGGAGGGAGAGAAATCCACAAGCATAACTGAGAAATATGTGCAGTGGTGTATGTGCAGAGAGGCCAACAGATAGATAGATAGATAGTGACAGATCATGGTGTAAAAGCTATAGGGTGAATTATTTATCCCACCCAAAAACACATCAATAATTTAGCTGTAGTGCCAGAGTCTGACTTGTCTTTAGTTGGTGTGTGTGAATAAGTTATCGCCGCGTTTCGTTGTGCTGAGAGGCTGAGAGACAATTTTTCTTGAAACCCAGAACCTCCTTCAGTAAACGCTTGTTTGGGGAATTCATTTAAGATCAATTGGAAGGTTTTCAACGAAGCGTCCTTGTCACATGGAGCAAATCCTCGTAGTTATAACGCCCGTTTCCGTGCAAATTTCTCCAGCTCACTGATTATCTGGTTCAGCCCATCGGAAAGGGAAAGGTTGACAGAAGAATACGTTGTGCTGTGACATCACATGAATTCCAAAACACACACGCACACACACACACACAGACACACGCTTGTTCAAACACAACAAATACTCGTGAAAGTGTGGCACTGGGTCTGATTTAATTTAAGAAAGACTACTGTATTTACTTGAGGTCACCTGTGTGTGTGTGCGTGTGTGCGTGTGTGTGTGTGTGTGTGTGTGTGTGTGTGTGTGTGTGTGTGCGTGTGTGAGTGTGACATTGTCTGTGTGTGTTTTAACTCTCTTTTGAGGACATCAATCACATTTCAAAGTCACATTGAGGGGATTTGCTTTTCTCTTTTGGGGACATTATGCACAAACATTACCGGCTGAAAACTGTCCAAGGTGAGTGTAGTATTTTGGATTACGCTGGAAGTGGTAATGTTTATAGGTCAAGAAAATGTGTGAAGTCAATGTAATGTCCCTAAAAGTCATGAGAAAACAAGGTTTATGTGTGTGTGTGTGTGTGTGTGTGTGTGTGTGTGTGTGTGTGTGTAAAAGGGAGGGTTGAGAGCATGCAGGTTGTCACACACAGATGGCCGCTCCCCTGTCTTCTCTGTTTGACTCCTGAGGAAAACGTGTCACACACCATTTGACAAAGATGGTCAGCCTAAAAAAACGACAAATATTAGTTTATTCTGATGCAAACTGATGGTTGACGAAAACAATTTCATGGTAAATGTAGAAGTTCCTTTGATACAAAAAAACCTAAATAATTTCAGATGTCTTTCTATAAATAGCAGATATTGATCACTCTGATTAGCAACCTAGAAAGACGTCTTTCAGGCCTTTTTATTACCTTTGTTCACCTCCTGAACAACCCCATATAGCATAAGCCCTCCAGAGAGCTCCTTGTTGAGGCATCTTGATCAGCACCAGTATGGCAGCCGGTCCCAGTGGCCCTGAAGGAGCGGACGCTGGGGGTTTGTGCTCCGCTCCTCGGCCGGCGGCAGCTGCTTCCACACGTGGAGACGAGCTGAGTCAGACGTGGCCGCTGTGTGGTGCGTGATGTCTGCGTCGAGGTGTGTGTGTGAAAAATAGGCCAATTCTGCAAAATATGGTGTAGAAAAACTCACCCTCAAAATAACAGAAAGATAGCATCTTCAGTAAATTTGAGAATATATAACAAATAACTCATTTTGAGAAATACAGTCATATGGTTTCTGGAAAATTAACATGAAAGATAAAAAACAAGCTTCCTCGATAATCTGACGCATGCATTTCAAACTTTTGCATACACAAATCCCTTTACTCTTCTTTTGATCCTATTTTTTTCTTGTCAGGAAGGTTTTTATACTGTGAGGAGATGTGATTCTCGAGTGCGTCCATGAAAAATAAATGTTTTTTTCATGGCAGCAATGCTGCATCTAATGGAAATATCTTGCCCAATGATTTTATAAACGATTCCCCCAAGCCAAAGATATCCATTGAAGCCCTTGAATCCTGATCATTTTCCAAAGTGCAAAGGTTCGTTTGTAATTCTTCTTCCGGCACGCTCTGTCTTTGTCTCCACTCAGGCTAATTGAGAAGCGACAACAAAATGGAGAAACCATTGAACTATCAGCCGAGGGCCGTCCCGAGCTGGTGGAGGAGAAGGAGCTTCCAGTGGTGGACTGCACCTGCTTTGGCCTGCCGAGGCGCTACATCATCGCAATCCTGTCCGGCCTGGGATTTTGCATCTCTTTTGGCATTCGGTGCAACCTGGGTGTGGCCATTGTCAGCATGGTGAATGACCAAACGGTCTACAAAGGCAACAAGGAAGTCCTCGTGGTGAGCTGCAAAACGGATTTGGATATGGTGCTCGATTTTGGATTGATGCCACAATTTCTTTTTGATGAAAGAAAGAGATGAATGATACAGAAAACACTTCACTCTCACGCTAAATGCATCTAGTGAACATGAGAGGAACAATATACAGTGCATGTATTCCTTATCGTCATCAATACAGTCTTCCTCCTTTTTAATTAATTATTATTAATTAATTAACAACAGATGTACTCATGTGTTTGGCATATTTGTGTGTAAGTGGCATATTTCTTTCTCTGCAGGCTGCACAGTTCACCTGGGACCCCGAGACAGTGGGAATGATCCACGGCTCCTTTTTCTGGGGCTACATCGTCACACAGATCCCGGGTGGCTTTATATGTCAAAAATTTGCCGCCAACAGGTTATTGTCTTCACATTACAACATCATCTGGCATGTAGTGCCCTTGTTTACAGTAAATAGGTCAACTTTTGTGCATTAAAAAACAAAATGAATCACTATTGAGCAATAATTAAAAAAAACACACAGAAATCTGAAAATAAATAAATGTAACATTTTGAACGTAGTCTTTATAAGCAAATGAAAAGAAGGTGTAGTTGCATAAATGAAATAACGTGCATCATGTAGGATCACAACCTTCCAGTGGAGCTTGTTTTCATCTGTTGCTGTTAAATCTCAGACCTGAAGCAGCTTCTTTGTTCTCCTGTGTGTTTAAGAGTGTTTGGCTTTGCCATAGTGGCCACATCCACCCTCAACATGCTGATTCCATCTGCTGCTCGCTGCCATTACAGCTGCGTCATACTGGTTCGGATATGCCAGGGCCTTGTTGAGGTACCGTGTGGGCCTGCGTGTGCTTGTGCTCGGTACGAGTCTTCCTGGTTGTATTGAGGGTCTCCCTAACTGTATTATGTCCTTCAGGGTGTATCATACCCAGCCTGCCACGGGATCTGGGCCAAGTGGGCTCCTCCGCTCGAGAGAAGTCGATTAGCCACAACGGCCTTTTGTGGTAAAGTTTCTCGCCTTGCTGACACATTTCTCCAAATCTAATGTTTTTCACATGAGCTTGTGAAGTCCAGAGGTCAAAGTTAAAATGTTAAAGTGTCCGTATCGTAAATACGTATGAATACTTTCATGAGAGGAATCACAAAGTTCCGTCCATGAAGAAATACACGTGTACAGAAACTTTGCATTTCAACAACTGAACAGTATTTTCTCACGGTGGCGATGTCACAACTATACAAAATATAGATTATTATTTACACACATTTAACAGATTTAAAGTTCTAAACATGTCTCAGTTTATTTCTGCTGACAGGAAGTAAACACAGATCCAAGCCGAGCAACACAATTCCTGTGAAACACGCTCAAACGAAGCTTGTTGAATGCTGCTTTATTCAGATTTTTTGGAACATTGAAGAGTGCAGAAATGTTTTAGTAGAAATCCGACATAAAAGTATGAACCTGGAAAATTAGTATTTTACATGTAAGATAGTATGACAAGTGACCTTTAAAAGTATTGGACATGTGAATTTTACAACCACTGAATAACAATGTATAGTATTAATTTTAAGTACTAAAATTAGTACATGTTTGAGAGGAAAAGTAATAATTTGTTGCTTTTTTATATTGCATGCCTTGTTAGGATCCTATGCAGGGGCGGTGGTGGCCATGCCTTTGGCTGGGATACTGGTGCAATACACTGGGTGGCCTTCAGTATTCTACGTCTACGGTTAGTATCCCTGTGTTGTTTTACGTCCGTACTGACAGCCAAGCATTCATCATTAATGAACACACCAGCATTTTTCATTTGATATGCAATTTATTAATGTCTGTGTTTCGGTTTGCAACGGTTCATATGTGCCTGCATCAGGTGTTAAAAACTACAAATGTCTCTTTACAGCATTAGCTTTAACTTAGAAGGAAGTCTGAGCAGCAATGCTTCTCATTTTTTCTTTAATTCTCACTGCACCCACGTCTGTGTCTTCTGCTTCCTCTGCCTTCCTCGTTCAGGCGTTTTTGGGATATTCTGGTATATGTTCTGGATTCTGGTGTCGTATGAGAGTCCCGCCGCTCATCCCACCATCACACCGGAGGAGAGGAAGTACATTGAAGATGCAATCGGAGAGTCTGCTTCGTTTCTTAATCCTCTGCACGTACGTCTCTATATGATGTAACACTGAGAAACCTTTGGACCCGCATACAAACCCACACCTACAAACACGCTGGACATTCATATGTACACACGCAGCCGACTCCAGTTCTTGATCCATCACGGTGAATTCAGTGGATCCCAATAATATCTTCTTCCTTTGGATGGCAGAAATTTAAAACCCCATGGAAACACTTCTTCACCTCCATGCCAGTCTACGCCATCATTGTGGCCAACTTCTGCAGGAGCTGGACCTTCTACCTGCTGCTCATCAGCCAGCCGGCCTACTTTGAAGAAGTCTTTGGCTTTGAGATCAGCAAGGTGACACCACATGATCTATAAAAACATTACAGAAGCTCCAGTGGGATTCAAATTGATCAAATGAAAAAAAGACGATAGTTCTTCTTATGGGTGGGTTTCATCAAATTTGATGAGAGGTGTCTTGGAATTATCGGCAGAGTACCAGATGCAAAGCGTCTATGACAGGTTATGTGAGCTTGTGTAATCGTATTTATATATTGATATTCCCATGTTTAATTCAAAAGCAAGACATAACAAGGCTCTGGAGGTAATAGGAAATAGTGGCAGAGACAAGAGAGGCTGTCAGATTGGATCTGCTCAGCGTCATAACACAAATACACACTCTCTTCTCGCCCCCTTGTCCTCTTTCAGGTGGGAATGGTGTCAGCTCTCCCCCATCTGGTGATGACAATCATCGTGCCGATTGGAGGCCAGTTGGCCGACTACCTGAGAACCCACAACCTGATGTCCACCACCAACGTCAGGAAGCTCATGAACTGTGGAGGTGAGTGCTCGACACAAAGTGAGAGACTCAAGGTCGAACTTTGTTGTACTGAAACAACATATATGATTGTGTACTTTTTTTTTTTACTTTGGTGCTTGGGCAGTAATACTTTTCCAGAAACGTGCCTGCAAAAGCCCCATAACATTTTCAGACTTCTAAAGCGTTTTCTTGTGTGCATAAACACGTGTACTATCGCTGACATACAATACACTACTATGTAACGGGTGCATAGATGTTGATGCGCTTACGTGTCTCAGGCTTTGGGATGGAGGCCACCTTCCTGCTGGTGGTGGGATTCTCTCACTCAAAAGGCGTTGCCATCTCCTTTTTGGTCCTCGCTGTGGGCTTCAGTGGATTTGCTATCTCAGGTAAGAGACTCTGTAGAAGAAACGTCCCGACTCTGCTCCACAAACATTATAACAAACAGGTGGGGGGAATCATCTTGTGGCCTGCTTTTCATCTTCCACTCAGGGTTTAACGTCAACCACTTGGATATCGCCCCTCGGTACGCCAGCATACTGATGGGCATCTCAAACGGGGTGGGAACGTTGTCTGGAATGGTGTGTCCTCTCATCGTGGGAGCCATGACCAAACACAAGGTAACAACCCTTCACAACGTCCACTTCACAACGTGATGTGAAGATGACCAGCTCACATAGCCCGATCCTTTTTACATCCTTTCAGACGCGTGACGAGTGGAAGTACGTCTTCCTCATAGCGTCTCTCGTACATTATGGAGGAGTGATTTTCTATGGTAGGGCTTGACTTTGACTACAGTGTTTTGTCTGCAGAAGATCTCCGTCGAAATGCTGATCACATTTATTTCTCGATAGGAATCTTTGCGTCAGGGGAGAAGCAGCCATGGGCGGACATAGAAGACACCAGTGAGGAGAAGTGCGGTATCATTGATGAAGATGAACTGGCAAATGAAACAGAGGAAATGTATCGCGGAGGCGGGCAGTACGGCGCCATGAGCAAACCGGTCGTTGGTTCCAACGGAGGAGGGACCGGAGGAGGAGGCGGAGGAGGCGGAGGCGGGCCGGGATGGGTGTCGGACTGGGATAAGTCAGAGGAGTATGTGCAGCCACCTGGATACAACTCTTACATGTACGGAGGAGAAGAGGAGAGGGAGCTGACATAGAAGTTTGACGTGAAACAAGATAAAAGAAAAAAAGCAAGATGGAGAAAAAGAGGAAGATTGTTTGGAAGAGAGGCGCTGCAATTCTGAATGGACCTGCGGTGTGCTTTTGTACAATATTTACAATTGCACATATCATAAGTAAAGTCTACATCTGATTCATTCTTATGTTTGTGTGTACGTGTGTGTGTCTGTGTGTGTGTGTAGGCACGTGCATGCAGGGGTTAAAGTGGTTAACGTGCACAAACATATACAGTATTAATTAACAAAAAAGAGAACTCAAAGGTCCCAGATGATCCTTCCTGCTACTGAACTCGTTTTCTGATTGTTCAGAAGTTTCCACAACATTACAGAGGAGATTCAATGTGTGTGTGTGTGTGTGTGTGTGTGTGTGTGTGTGCCTGTGTGGTTGGTTGGATGCGGCCTGTTCAACAACTGTCTCAAGCCGCTGGCATTGTGTTATATTTACAGTTGTATGTGTAACTCACACATTTTCTTTTTTTGCTGGGAAAGCACCTTGGGCCTCAGTTTAGTTAAATACAAAATGTGATTCCACTTATTACACTTTTTGGTTTATATTACTCTCGAGGCTCTCAGCTTTACGATAAATCACATTAAGTGTGTACTAAAAAACTAAAATCAACACACATCTACGAAAGGTTAATGTGAACAATGTTGTCCGGATGCTGGAGATGCATATAGTGAATTCCCTTTGCCTCAGCAACACTACGTTTCCAAAGCAATGCACAATTCAAGTATGCATTCATGTGGCAACTACTTTAACTACTTTAAAACTTTTATCAAAGACGAAAATGGTGCTTAGGTGTTGTATGATCCCGTGTTTGTATTGGTGGAGTTGTAAAACCTTGTTCCAACAGTATGTGCATTTGAACATACAGAGGTGTGTGTGTGTGTGTGTGTGTGTGTGTGTGTGTGTGTGTGTGTGTGTGTGTGTGTGTGTGTGTGTGTGTGTGTTTGAGCTTGCATGTGGTGTCTTGCTGAATCTCACCTGGGTCTGACCGAACTAGGTCACTTGAAGCCAGGCTTAAGGGTCCCGTGAGTAATCATCGGATATATTGGTGACTTTCCATTTGGTGAGTACGCTCCCATTAAGAGACGTGGCCCGGATTGACAAGTTGAGTGTGATGGTTACTGAACCAGCGAGGAACAACAGTTAAAACTTTCCCCGGCATCTCGGCCCGAGTTCTATCTTTTTCTGCGTCGTCCTTGGCTGCCTCTCCCTCCATCTTCCTCCTCCTATTCAACGGGACGCTTCCTGTCTTCTCCTCTTTGTCGGTGCTCCTTCCATGTCTTTAGTACCTACATTTCAGTCATGTTTGAGTAGGACAGCGCTTTTCTGTTGGTCTGTGTGTGTGTATGTGTGTGTGTGTGTGTGTGTGTGTGCGCGACGGTGAGAGTGTGTTGTTGCGTTGGGTGCAGGTGCTGAAACATTGTGCGGCGAGCGTGTTTTAATGAGCACAGCAGTGCAGTAGCTGCCCTGCCATCCCTCCCCTCCTTTCACACAAAAGCACACACTCAGTAAACCAACGACGTGCATTTCATGCAGTCAAGTGCACCGTGCTCGGTGTGCACGAGAGTGGTGGAACACTATTTGGTATTTACACAGCTGTGAAGCACCCACGGAAACCGAGTAAGATTAGAAAGTGTTATCACTCATTAACAATGTGTGTGTTTAAGTTGGGTACCAATCATGGCAAGTCAAATACGCTCCTCTCGTGCCCTTTGAAAGCAGCACCCTCTCCATCTTTACGCACTGACAGCCGGGTAATGTAGTGGACGGTCCAGAGGGGATTCTCCTGAGAGGACACTAACATGCTCATAGAAAAAAAAGGAACAGTCTTGTTGTACAAACAAGCTGCACAGTACAACTCTTTGCATCCGCACATAGAGGCAGCATACAAGAAACTACATGTGCATGCACATACCTATACGCACAAACACAACCTCTGCCCCATGCGTGTACTCAGGTCATGCAAACATACAACTCTCTTTTCAGATCGAGGATCTAATTCCATTCAACTTATATAGAGGTGGTGATATGGGCTCACTTGTGATAAACTGGAATGTTGGAATGTTAAAGTAATATTTGATATCAATTTGAATCAAGATTTAAATAATTTAAAAAAGGGATTAAAGCTAATTTTGTTTTGAGGGAAATATCTAAAATTCATAAATGATTATTCCTTTGAACAATTTAATTTTTAAGTGTTGTATCTGTGTATTTTTAATCACGTTTCTCTTAGTCTACGTTCATGGCTGTTCCAATTTTGTCCTTCTTTGATGAAATGTGTGGTGAATATGCTGTAAAAATAACAAAGGACAAAATCATATTTAAACATACAAAAATTGGGAAAGAATTCTATGTATAAAAGATGTATATGTGAGATATCCTTGTGTATAATAAAATGTAAGCAATTTGAGAGGAGGTCACTATTTCAACCCAATCAACAGGATTTATTCCCTTTACAGTACAATGACGCACTAAATTAGTGTCGTTTTTTAGATTATTTTTGTTACTTCACCAGTGCAGTGTCAGTTCTCGGATCTCTCCCAGGGCAGATGGATGCAGGATTATCTCTGTGATTTTCGGCAAAGATTAGATAGGAGAGCAGATGCACTCAGTGGGAGAGTGTGGGAGAAACACGGACGTCAGTGACAACGGAAGTGGAAGGATCAGGGGCCAGAGGGTGGGGCATGAACACCTCCCCCTCCACCCTCTCTCTCGCTCTCTCTCCCTCGTTAAACTGAGCATTTAAAGAGTTTCCCAGGTAGTGAAGAGCTTGGTGACTTCAATAATCATCTCGTATTTATAGTTTTAGAATACAGTATAATGAATACTACTGATTCATTTCTATGCGTGTCAATAGATCTTTATTTTGAAAAGGTTTACCGGAAGTATTGACGCACTTTAACTAGTAATGACGCACAGATGACGAATTAAATACAGTGCTGCAGTTCACCACCGTAACCACTAGACGGCGGTAAACACACACGCATCTTCATGATTCTGGACGTACACATGCAGATTTTAAACTGGTTTCCCAAGAGTAAAATATGAATACTGACCGTACTCTTATTACATTAAGGCTGTGCAGTAGCCACGAATTGAATTATAGTTGTACATTTCCTAATTTTAACCACTAGATGGCAGCCAACATCAATTCTTTGTGTTCCACACCAAAAAAAACTGTTGGTAAATTAGCAACAAAAATATATATATTTACCACTAATTGTATGTTTATATGTTGTATTGAATGGGTTAAATGTAAAAGTTAGTTGACCGTACTGTTTTGTAGTGAACTCTGTGACCACTGGAGGGAAGTGAAGATTCAGTCTAACTACAACTCAGGAAACTCCAAGTGACACGCAGGTATCAAGTTAGACAGAATCTTGCACTATTACTTCCTGCAACCTTTTCTTAAAACCCGGTGGTAAATTACGGTGGATAAAACACTTACAATAATAGAAGCATTTGCAATACAGAACAAAAAATGCACTTATAATATATAAATATCTACTAGTACACTGAAATATGTTAGCAGAGCAATGTCACATTGCAACGTATTAATAAAATACACCGAATGTATTAGTTTAGATCTGCAGGATTAAGAGGAACGTCTTCTGTGTGGGAAAAAAAACTTTTCCTGACAGGACACGCCCAACTATGGCTACGTCTCTTTACTATTGGACAGATTTGCTTGGTATAGGCGGGGTCAAACGCTACAACTCCCCTATGATTGGGTTGTTACGACGTCGGTCAGCATGCCGTCGCTTCATTGGTTGTTTGACGACGGGGATTAACCTGAAAACGCTGCCTTCATTGAGCCACAATGGAGACTAAATAGGAACTCGCTCGGTTTCAGGCTTTTAATGTATTTATTTCATGAAGTAAGATTTGTACTAATAGCTTCAAAAAATCTGCGGTTACTCGTTTTCGACACGTTATACAAATCAGGAAAACAAGTTGCGGACACACCCTGAAGCTTGTCCACAACTGGGTTTGGGTTTTTTTTTTGAATAAGGAAATCGTCTCCAGGCTAACGCTATGTAGCAAGCTAATCTCAGTTATCCTCCGTAAACCCGGCTATCCTTTCACAAACAGCCACAACACCCACACACCGAGGTAAGCACGTTGACTCGACACGACAACGAGGAGGACACCGCAGAGAGACGGGTCAGTTCTCCTCAAAACCCGGGTCCGTCTCTCCGGCGCGTCCGCCTGGGGAGGAAAGAGGGAGACGTCCGCCGGTGTGATTTGTTCACCTCGCCCTTCTCTCCCGGGTGGAGTTTTGATCCTCATTTGTTTAATTCTCTTTTTTTCTTTTTTTTAAAGGCATGACCGAGTACAAACTCGTGGTGGTCGGGGCTGGAGGTGTAGGGAAGAGCGCTCTCACCATCCAGCTCATCCAGAACCACTTCGTGGACGAATATGATCCAACCATCGAGGTAAGAGGGACGAGCCGGCAGACAAATCCAGCGAAAACGCGTCGAGCTTTTAGGGTTTTACAAACACAATTCTCAGATCCTTCCTTAAACCCTTTTAAAAAAATATTTCTATTGATAATCATCGTGGTCTTCTGTGACAGATGTTTCATCAGTGCCACTTTCTCTGGTGTCAACGAGTGCTGAGCATTTGCACTACACAATTAATACATATGTGTATCAATAATCTACTTTATTTAAGTGACGGTCCTGTGTGAAAACCTAACGAGGGTACATATATAATTTACTTCAAGATGAATCAATATTTAGCTTGTATATTTCAGTAATTATAGATCTCTTTTATCTTATTACTGTTTATAATTTTTTTTTATATCTTGTTTAGTTGTTTTTTTTACTATGTCTCTGTTTGCACTTTTACCCTTCAGCTGCTGTAATTTTCCCCCTGCTGCGGCACTAATAAAGGATTTTGGATAAAGGACTTTATCATATTAAGTTGAATTTAATATGGTAACGCCCTTTTAAAGCAAAAGCTTTCCTGCAACTTTGCTGAGTAATCTAAACAATCCCCACAAGTTGCTTCTGCATTCCTCAATGTTCACACACAACCTGTTGCTGCATGTGCAACTCCCAAAAAAAAACAACGACTTTGCAATCATCCTGACGCAATCCATTGTTCGATTTTCGCGTCAGACTCGTTTTGTTGCGCCTGTGTGATCGAGTCATCGTTTGTGTTCCAGGACTCGTACAGAAAGCAGGTGGTGATTGACGGGGAGACATGTCTGTTGGACATCCTGGACACTGCCGGTCAGGAGGAGTACAGCGCCATGAGGGACCAGTACATGAGAACAGGGGAGGGCTTCCTCTGTGTGTTCGCCATCAACAACACCAAGTCCTTCGAGGACGTCCACCTCTACAGGTACAAGACACCTCGAGTTATTTAGAAAGTTCAAACCGTCGTAAAAGGACAGATACTTTTACCCTGGATCAGTCTGTCAGTCCGTTGTGTTTTTGTGAAATTTAGTTTGACATTCTAAACACCAGCTTTTTGTGATCGTTTATTTTAGGACGCTTTCACACACTTTACATTCTGTCAATACCTGTTAACACTACACTGAGTTTTTGTGACGTTATTCAGGTACTGTACTATGACTCCTCCTTTGACATATTAATGCCAATACTATACTACAACCTTTTTTGCCTCCTGCACGTTGTCCCCTGCTCAGAGAGCAGATCAACCGGGTGAAGGACAGTGACAGTGTTCCCATGGTGCTGGTGGGGAATAAGAGCGACCTGAGCACTCGCACGGTGGAGTCGCGGCAGGCGCAGGAGCTCGCTAGAAGCTACGGAGTGCCGTTTGTCGAGACCTCTGCCAAAACCAGACAGGTACATGGGAAAGACTCTTGTACTCCCTTTGCAAAGATTATTCATGAGTCTTGTTGGAGTAAATAACTCAAAGTCGATGTCTGGAATAGAACTTTTAATCACGTCATAGACATCAAATCTAATTTCCTGTTGTGTGACAGTGGTTTTCTCTCTTGCAGGGCGTAGAGGAAGCTTTTTATTCGCTAGTACGTGAGATTAGACGATATAAGGAGACCAACCGCAGCAACAAGAAGAGCAAGAAGAACACTCGGAGGCGCTGCATAATACTATAGCCCAACACGCAGACCAGCTCATCCCTAAAAGCACTTGTCTTGCGCTCACGCTGCACCCGCTCCGATGCCCATCACGGCAGCGGAGGTGGCTGCTGGTTCCCACATGCAGTACGTCACAGGATACGCAATGTCTATTCAACGCTGTGAATTATCTGCTTCTTTTTGTTGACCAAACGGCTGCAAAATGAAGTTTTTACATGAGTTTTTTTGTTGTTGCTACGGTTCGCATTTGTGCAAACTTAATTGGAGTCAGTGGTAGAAAGATTTCATTTTCCTGTAATGATCGTACTCTTACTAATTGGTATCACGTCAAGTTGGTGTCACAAACTATTCCTGTTGACTCTTCGTAGGTCCGGGGTCCACAGTGGTGGTGCGTCACTGCACTTTGCACCGTCATGTCAGGTGACACTTTCAGTCTAAAGTCTCTGACTATTTAAAGAGGTGATATTAGATTGGTACCTTTTTTTTTTTTTTATAAACCGTTTACTCAGTTACTTCTCAGGTGCTGATAAAACACATCCTGAGAGCTGTGATGCATCGTGGAAGCTGGAAGTCTTCCCATGTGGTACATTTAAACTCCACTGATGCGGAAACTCCTCACAAAATCTCTGACTTTGACTCGTTATCTGATCATCTTGAGATACTTGATAAGGAACCAGTTTTTTATAGCAGTGTTTGTCCTCTTTCATAATTAATTACCCTCCATGTTGTGGATGACATTTATATTTTTGTAGTAGAACCATGAAAGGTTCCTGCTTTTCAATGGTGTTAAACAAATAGCGTCCCGAAGCCCCTTTCATTATTAAACGTTTAGTCTCTCACTGACAGCTATGTAAAATCTTTAATGCACTCGGCTGTAATGAACAAATAAAGGTCTTCAGCTTGTATGAGTTTGTTTTATTCAGGAGGGGGAATCTTCACAAAGTGTATTTTTAGAAAGATGCAGGACATCAGACTTAATATAAAACAACCAAACCAATGCAACACCTTCATGTCAAATTAAGATTATGGAATGAAGAGTTTCAATACAAGTTAAATGTGTATATATTTAGCATCTGGTGTTACTGCGATAATAGAAACCATCACACATGAGGGATAGATTGCTTTTGGATTTTTATTTTACAAAAGTGACATACCATTCATATTAGAAAACAAAAATATATGCATTTTTTACAATCCGCGAGAGAAAGAAAATACAGCGGGACAAAGGCTCATCTGAGCTGACGCGTCTGTCGCTCACCATCCAAAACGATTCACCAGGGTGCTCTGGTCATCCAGATCTTTCTGAACCTTCTTCCTCATGTAAAAGATGGGACAATCCCGACTGTAGAGGAGTCAGGAGGGACGGTGTTACTGTGTATTCAGGCATAATTCTCAAGTCAACACTGCGCTACAATAGATATTCGCACCTGGTGCAGAGCACGTCCTCGTGCAAGGAACCCTGACAGCGCTGACACTGAGTCCACAAGCGAGAGAAACGCTCCTCCAGTGTGTTCAGGTGAAAGATCTGCAATTAGAAACTTGTTAAAAAATCCTTCACGTGATATTCATAAATAACCAGGCATTTTAGTGAATAAAAATTATAGTAAAAGATTCATTATTCCTGCATACCTCTTTTTGATACAGTTCAGACTCCTTCCTCTTACAGAAATCGCACACCGCCGCTGCAATAACACACACGTCAGATGTCACACAAAGCATCAGCGTGCAGACTCAAAGCCTCAAAGGGATCTGAGAGATAATGTAGTTAGGATATTTTTAAATTCTGATCTCACACACCTTCCGTCTTGAGTACAGCTTTGCAGCCGATACAGGTGCTCCTCTTTTGAGCAAATGCCATCAGGCCCCCGACCTTCGAGGTCAACACGGTCTTGCAGCGTGTGTGGTCGCCCTCTGAGGATTGCCAGCGACATCACATGTTAACATTTGTGATTTCATTTTATTTATTTATTTTTTACAAGAGTTTCTTCATGAGAAACTGCTGCTTGGGTTGTTATAATGCTGGCATGGTTATAAACCATCTTTTAGATTTCTGCACATGATTAATCCACAGCTAATCCCATAAAATTGGAAAACTGACTGCTTTTTAAGAAGACTATAACATGCATGTTGATACTTACTGAGGAGGACGTTTTCTGCCTTGGTCTCTCCCAGGATGGGCTCAAATATTCTCAGCAGAGGCTTGGACAGCTGCTGCTCCAGGTAGTATTGTGTGTCGATGGGAATCGTGTTCTCCAGCACAAAGATTGGGTCCTTAAATGACACGCAGAACAAACCCGATTAGTGTGCGGACCAAACGTTATGCGAAAAGGAGCTGCACAAATTAAATCTAGTTATTTGGACAATAAAAGAGGCTACTTCAGACCTCTGACTTCATGTACGCCGCCACTCCCTTTGCAGCCTTGATGATGACGTAAGGAACTCGGTCTCCCAGGTTTGGGGCGCTGCCAGCATCTCTTTTCTTCATCCTGTAAAAACATCCGTATTGGTGAGTCGGTTCACCCACACCGCGCGACGTTTACCCCGCGGAGTGTTGTTTGCAATGAACGGACCTCTCAGCCAGCTCCACGTGCGCCTGTTTGCCAGCGTACTCCTGCGCAGTGCGCGTGAGCTCCTTGGTGATGACAAGCTGACTGATGTCAATGCGGTTGCACAGCAGGTCAGAGATCACTTCTTTGGCGTGAGCCACAGCGCCCTGGGGATCCCTGACAAAACACACCACCAGCTGGGATTATCTTCAGACCAGATAAACTGCTCATCGGGCAGGCTGTTCATACACAGGACTTGCAGCAATAGCTCCAAGAGACATGCACATGCGTATGCATATGTACCTGTCTATGAGGATTCTCTGCAGACAGGTGTTGATGAGGTTTGCCACCAGAGGGCAATTGTCTCTGCGGACAGTTTCGATGCCTTTACAGTCCATCTTCTCATGAGTGTCGGCACTGCCAGAGAAATAGAGGCCCGCGTACCGCTTCTTGTTGATCAGCAGGTAAGGGTAATACACCTGTGGAAGGGACAAATGTATTCACAACAACTTCTGACGGGCTTAAATTATGCGCTTTGATGGATCATGTCAACAGAAACGGCACCTTCTCAAACTCCAGTTTGATGGGCGGCGTGAAATGGGACGATATCCACTCTGCTGCCTCCTTGCCCACATCCATTGCCTCCCTCACGGTGGCAACTCCAAGCTTAACCATGACGGAATCTGTGTCCCCATAAATAACCTTTAAAACATAAATACAATTTAAACAAGCACACAAATCAGGTGTAGTAGATCCCATACCTGCAAGTCTGCTCAAAACTACAGCGTATTATAAAAAGCATTTCCTGATATAAAAAAAAGCTGAAAACTCAAAAGCATTTGGGTCAGAACGGGCACAGCTAGAAGTATTTCTCACCTTGGCATCACCTTGGTAACCATTGGAAATAGTGTACTTGGACTCTACCAGTTGTTTGGTTTGCTCAATCATCTGTCTTCCAAAACCGGTGACGCTCTAGACAAATGAAAAGACAACTTAAAAACGAGTTTTAAAAGACGTTTGGCATTAAAAAAGTTCTTTGTTCCTTCCTCTTTTGTCTGCTTTGCCTACAATAGATAACCGATGTTCGGTGGCTGCATGGCAATATGGTGCCCACATAACTAAACCTATAAGTCCAGCATAAACTAGTTGGACTTCACATTAGTACGAGACCGTGATTCAAGTGCTCACCTGAGAGATCTCTAAGCAGGGCAGCTTGCCAACCTGAGCGCCTGTGAAGCCGTACACAGAGTTGGCGCTGATTTTGAGGGCCAGCTGTCGGCCGTCCAGCACCTGCCTCTTGAAAGGGTCCGTCTCCTTCTTCAGCTCCGTTTTGGCCCTGCGGACCGACATTGGGATCAGCTAAGAAGGAAGCCACTTCTGACTGGCACTGTATTTTTCCCTGAACATTATCACAGCAAGAGAAAAAACATTAAACACCAGGAATAAGGGGATAAAAGTTAAAATAAATATGCATTCCTGAGAGGAGATTCGTTTATTTTATCTAGCAACTAGATGGAACAGTTTCCCTCTTGTTCAGGTCAGCCCGATTGTGTTATGCGTTTGAATAATTCCAACCTCTTCCTGGCAGACAGCAGGTTCTCCAGGATCTCCGGTAGAAGTCCTTTTCTTACAGAGCTCTTCACAAACATATCGCCAGTTGGAGTCTTGATGAAGTCCTCTGGTGAGAGGCTGAATACAAACAACTGCTTTAGATGTGGCTCATTGCATGCAAAACAAGTGTTTTGCATGTTCAATAGATCATCGAGAAAGGACACGTCATTATCAAATTAATAAACTAAGTCACAAAATTGTGTTTACTACGTTTAGGTAAGAATGAAAAATAGAGCTGGTTTGAAATAAAGTGGCATAAAAACCCTTATATTTGAAAAGAAAAAAACTAATTCATAAAAAGTCTGCTCACTTCTGTCTCTCTGGTGAGCCTTTCTGCAGCAGGGTGGTGTAGCACAGATTGTGAGCCATCATGATGGAAGGATACAAGGAGGAGAAATCCAGGGTGGCAATAGGTACGCTGTAATAACTAAACAGAGTAGAAGATGGTGATGGAAAGGTATAAAATAATATTGCATCAACTAAAGCATCAACACGGAAGAGTCATACACTCAAACAGATGCACTTACCCTTTCTCTGGCTCAATGACAGTTGCCCCAGTGTAGTCTTCCCCTCCTTCTGGCCTCACAACAGGCATGACCAGGTCTTGTTTCATGGCCTTTAACACGTACAGACAGATACTCACAGTCAACATCCTTAAATCTGTATTTAAGTATCCGTCCCATGGGTTTGCCTTTGTTACCTGTCGTAAAAGCTGAGAGACAACTTTGATCTGCTGTCCTCTCGACAGCAGGTAGGTGAGAGGCACGCCGGTCACTCTGGCCATCTCCATGTAGTTAATCACACACATCAGCTTCTGCAGCAGGCGCAGCGGCAGGTAGGCGTCTTTGAGGCAGTAGACGGCCAACCGTCGACGAGTCTGTTCGTTTCCATTCTGTGGTGGAGGAAGCAAACGGGAGGAAGAGCAGCAACAACTGGAGATTAGTTGTTTTTTTAAGCTCACGTGTTCAATTTTATTTAAGAGAAATATCAGCCATACACTTAAATATTTAGTAATGATGCAATTTGTATCAGCTCTCATTCGGCTACAAGGCCACTAGTTTATGCTTTACCTGCAGATCGGTGATGATCGAGTGCTGCACATCTTCTTTCTGTTCTTGCAGGAAGTGAAAACTCACGGCGTTCAGTGTGTATGAGCGCAGTTTATAGTCCCTGAGAAGAATCTGAGAAACAAACCAATAAGAACATCATGCAAGTTCTTACCCAAGCAACGCAGCACATACGGTGTAGTAAATGTAAAGTTATGAATGCTGCTGCTGCAAATGTAGCTGACCTGCAGTAGATCAAACTGAACCCGGCCCTCCATGTTAATGATCTTGTTCTCTCTGCGGCCCATCTGCTTGCTCTGGAAGTTTAGGTCCCGCATGACTGACTTCATGACTCGCACGCGGCCGAGGTAGGGAAAGAGTTTCACCTGGACACAAAAAAACAATAATTAGTATTGCAACTACAAATATACTCTTCTGGAGGCTGTGTGTATGTGGATTACTCTCAATCTGTTGTTGCAGAACTTGACATTGAATGGAAAGGGTCAGAGAAGTAGCGCTCCAACTAACCTTTAAGGCAGCTGCCCTGTTGAGCAAGTAGGGAAAGTCAAAGTTTTGGATGTTGTATCCAGTGATGATGTCTGGGTCGACAGTCCTCAAAAACTCCGCCCAGCTCTGCTCACAGAAACAAAAACTTATCAAAAACGGGGGGAAAACGTGTGGGAACACTTTTCCGTGCCTAAT